TGTCTTTAAACCCTTATGTGATAAGGTAACAGTCAAGTGTTAATTTTAAAAGCAGGCGGACACGACGATCGTTGATTGTTTCCCAATTCAACTGTTTAGTTGCACAACTAAAAATCGACTAGTGTGCGCACGTCCATATAAATTCATAGTAATCAATGCGGGACTAAACAGTTGTGCGATATTTTAGTCAAAGAGGTACGCTCCAATTTTTCTCTTTAAATTAAAACGTACCCTCATGGATGACAAAAGCTACAGACCATCTTACTTGATACCATTGACGATGGAATCATGGAAGTAAGTAACTTGGTCTGCGGTCGATTTTTTTTATAGTATAAGGTGACAAACAAGCAAGCGGCAACCTGAATCCACCGAAATAGAAAGCGACCGCTTCCCATAAACATCCGCAATTGCAGATGCGTTACCTACCCTTAATTGACGGAGGAGAAGACGCACATAAAGAGAACATTTCCCCTTCCTATGCGTCTCCTCCACCGCCAAATCCACTTTTCCTTCACTCTTAAGAAAAGGGTGGAAAAGAAAAGGGAATAAAATTAGGCCTCCGGCACCATACTCAACGGACGAAACACGGAATTGTTTCACTTCACGCCTGTTTTCTGTGTGGTATTGCTGGGGGCGAAGATCTTAAAGCGGGCTCTACCACTGTTATTTATTTCTTAAATATTACTTCCTACCAAACATAATTACTCAAACCAAGGCAATATTTCTCTGATACTGGGCTACTAAGCAATTAAAATGTATCCAGGAGTGGGTCATTAATCATGACTAAGCGTTAGTCATTAATCATGAGTACAAATCGATGACGTCACACCGACGCAATTAACGACCCGCGTCGGAAAACCACTGGTATTAGAGTAACTCGATTTAAGATTTAATTATTTTAGCTTTAGCCCGTGACTACGTCCGCGTGGAGTTATAAAAAAACATAAACGAGTAGCCTATATGTTCTTCCAGACTATCCTCTACGTCTATGCCAAATTTCATCGAGATCCGTTCAGCCATTTAGGCTGCATACTCTAACAAACATCTACCCATCCATCTAAACTTTCGCATTTATTATATTACTAGCTTTCGCCTGCGACTCCGTCCGCGTGGAATTAAAAAAAATGAAAGTTAGTAACCTATGTGTTCTTTCAAACTATCCCCTACATCGGTACCAAATTTCATCGAAATCCGTTCAGCCGTTTATGCTACAAACTCTAACAAACATCCATCCATCTAAACTTTCATATTTATAATATTAGTATGATTAATTAATTAATTTATCAATCAATCATAATTAAAAAAAATTTCGTACACTGGGGTCCAAATGTCATATCGATGTATGAGGAGATAAACTAAAACGGCCTTAAGAAGTATCTACACCAGCTAATTTTGTTAGACAATTTTTTATTCGTCTATCTTCATTATTTTTAATGATTTGTCATTTTTACGCAGGTACACATTGTCAACGAATATTGAAAGGTTTGGGAGAATTCTAGTGTGACAACGCTTGCCTTAACGATCTAACAATCTTCACTAATTCAATGCTTTAAACTAATCAATAACGAAATAAACGACAGTCGATGGACCTGAGCTTGAGCTATGCGTTCACTCATTTTGAAACAGACCGTTGACAGCTGTCATTCAACAAAAACGTACACAATATCTTTCTCACAATATTTATTTGGCGTACTTTTATAGTAATATTTTAAGAATATACTAGGAAAGTGTATTTCATAAAAATAACGGTAATGTTTACCAACTGTTCTATTTTCGAAATTCCCGCGTATTTGTTTTCTTTGTAACGTTGCGATGACATACATCTGTCAGTCTGACAGGTCGCCATTGTGTTGCGTTCGGTAACACGTCAATATGCGCAATAAGTACTATGACTAATTGTTTTTTTGAACATATAGAAAAAATCAACCAAATAATTTAGTAGAAAAAAATGGATATCTTTCACAACACCATAAATATGGGTAATCTAGCAATCATAACTTACTATATTGTACTACTATTTTATATTTTACTATTTTCGTAAATAATACAAAGCAACTATTCAACTTATCTATGACTCTGCTTTGAATTTGGCTGTTCCAAATTCAAAACGCTGTCATCGACATTTTTTTTTCTGTCAACGCAACAGTACAAAGGAGTACAGCCAATGCAACGAAAAAGTATAAAAATATTTGTAGGTAATCCGGATCACGCAGCTTGTAGCCGTAAGTAGGTCGGGGAGGTCGCGCGTCACGCTGGCGGGGGAGGGGACTGACGTCACGAGTTGTGACGTAGGTGCCCCTCCTCTGACCACACCTTAGTATTATAATATTGCGTAGACGTATGAGAGAAATTCTCGTTCAAGAGCTTTTATGCGAGATATGCTCTCAATCTAAATCAAACTCGATGTTTGAATGTTTTGTTAGTATACGAGAATAAGAGTAACTTTAGAGTGGGCTTTGACCAAACTATCTCAAAACCGTTTAGTCTTGCTTTGATTCCTACGAGCTTTTGTGCATATATAACAATAGTGCTATAGTTTAGTCACAGGTGTTTGCCTGCCCTTAAACTATACTAAATATGTGTAGTTCATCGTAATAGTATATCGTTTTAATTTTCATAAAATTCTAATTTTGTTAAGGCGTTCATATTACCTCGTCGTAGCATAAAATGAAATTGTAACTCCAATTAACTATAACATATTTAAATTTAATTTCCCATGACACGTTGTAACATGTAATTATTTATACCTCATAACCACAATAATTAGCTTAATTAAAGTCAAATAATTGAATTAAAAATCATATATTCATAATAGGTGTTCCGTGCGACTTCATTCGCATAAAATTATGAAAATTTTATTTTGTTGTTTACATGTGTCAAATTATCAATTGCAAATGTCAAAGTGATATGATATAATAACAAACCATGGCAACCTTGCTTCCTTGATGTTGGCATCAACTTATGGTCTCTTACTCACGTTAGCGGTATTTATCCAAAATATTTACCCCCTAATTTTAACGGCGTGAAAATATATAGCCTAAAACATGACGTAAGTGTAGGGCTTTTTATTAAAAAAATAATTATTCAATATGCTGTAATTGCTGACATCTTAGGCAACAAAGAAGTGTGTGTTTACGCTTTATTATAATACTATAGATGAATACATATACACGTAAACTCATGTACATATGTACATAAACTACCATGTTTTGTACTTAACTAAGTTATTTTTTAAAACCTATATTCAGAGTAACTAACCTACTTTTATACCTAGTTATTATTAGAAGAGCGAACATATTTCCCTTCGCCTCGCACCGGAAGTGGCGTAAGGGGTGACATCCGCTCTATATTCACTATTGTTCCTGCCCACCCTTCCGGTTCTGAACACGGCGTGGGTTATCAACTTTAGTGTAGAGAAAATTCCATTATTATTTCCTGGTAGTCTATAAATATATCATCTGTTGAATATCGTAGTTAGGTATTGAAAACACATAAAATGTAAATATATAGTACTAATATTATAAATGCGAAAGTTTAGATGGAAGGATGGATGTTTGTTAGAGTTTGTAGCCCAAACTGCTGAACGGATTTCAACGAACTTTGGTATAGATGTAGAATATAGTCTGGAAGTACATAAGGCTACTCATTTTTTGAGTCGCGGACGAAAGCTAGTTGATAATAAAGGAATTGATGTTTTTTTTTGTGAGATTTCAGTACCGCATTTCTTTTATCAAAACAAAAAAAAATAGTAGAAGCAATTGTATTTAAATCAGGAATTGAAGGAGTTATTCTTGTTGCAAAGAAAAAGGTTTTTTTTCTAAGTGGAACATCGCGTATTGCCTCGACTGTACAAATCTCTTATACGATGGCAGGTAACATAAATATTTATCGTGTATCCCATGTCAAATTGAATGGCCCCTTGATGGAGTGCCTCGTAGCGCTCTGACCGCGCCCTTTGTGCTCTTAGTGCTACGTCTTCTTTTAGTATATTAAACGATGCTGTTTATTTTATAATGTGAATTATTATCGGAAGTAAAAATCACATTGTACACAAGCAAACAAGCAAAAATACACAAGCAAAATGTATTGGTTCACTCGTCGAAATCGTAGAACTTATTGCTACGCCGTAGTATCGTAGCATGTTCGTAACTTGTCGGCGCTCATAATAAGGCATTTTTTAATCTCATTTGTAAATTAAAGATTAGAAAAATTATCACAAAAACGTTCATCGAATATAAATCTATTCCAAGGTAGTTTTTAATAGAAATGACGTAACGCTCGAAGCAGCCAAAATCTAGATACAAACCATGCCGACAATGTATCCGGCACATTGACAACATACGTTTGGCGCTACAATATCACTGCCAATTATACAATACAAAGCGATTTAATTAATCAAACAAACCAATTAACAATTCTAAATGAACGTGACAAAATAATTAATCGAGACAATGCGGGTGTCGACAGCTGTAGGCTACGGGCTACGAGTTAGGACTTGTAGCACATAGCTACGCGCCAGTACCTAACTTAATTTTAATGTAATCTATATTTGTTCTTTTTTTTTAGTATAAATTTAGAAAAAATACGTGGCTATAAATCATACGCAACAGACTGAAAGAGACAAAATTATATTTTTTACTTCAGGTGTGTGACAGAGATAACGCTATCTACAAAGTAGAAATTATAATCTTAAGAGCGGACGCACGCCTTTGATTGAACTATGTCAAACTGTTGTGGCGATTGTCGATTGTTTGGTAGCCTCAACTGTTTAGTTGCACAACTAAACTTCGAGTAGTGCACTTCCATATAAGCTCATAGGAATCAAAGCGAGACTAAACAGTTGTGCGATATTTTAGTCAAAAGAGTGCGCGCGCTCTTAGTATTTGTGTAGAAAAATAAATTACCTGTTTCCAAAGAAAATAACCTGCAACTTCTCTCGTTATTCTTATTTTACTAACCTAGGAAGGTTACAAACTTCTAAAGGTATATATAATTTCCAGACCAAACTGCTGCGCGCGCAGATCGCCGTCATACCGCACAACTAAGATCGCACAGGAGCCCGAGCCGGCGGCGGAGCCTCCGCTGGAACTGCTAGAGCCTGCGCCCTCGCTGCGGGAGAAGAAGCCCTCTGTCAAAGTACCACGGCCTGTCGCTTCCAGTGTATCAGGTGAGATGGGATCTGTACTAGAAGTTTGTGTACTTTATAATTACACTAACTGTTGCCCGAGACGTTTATTTTTTAATTTCACGCGAAGTTGTGAGCAACAGTTATCTAGATAATGTTAAGTCTGTTTTTTAAAGAGAATGATAATCTTTAAGAAAAAAGAAAACATTGTAATAAAAAATTGTGCAGAAAAAATCAGATATTGATAACAAAAGTGTAGTGAACGCCGGCACAGATTCCATTTCGCTGTCTTCCCCGGTGGCATGCGCGTCACCCCGCGAGGAGGTGGTCGGCCCCCCGGTGCCGGCCAGTGTGGCCGCGCTGCCGGAGGAGCTACGCTGCTACTTGCTGGGAAAAGCACCACCGATAAGGAACAGGCGACGACGTGCTATGCTCATATATGTTTGTGCTGCCGACTCACAAGGTGACAAACTAAACGCTTTCTTTAAGTTTTTTTCTTAATTGATAATGTATGTATCCCTTTACATAACCAATATGCTGTATTTTAATGTCAGGTGTCTTTCAATTTGTGTTATTATCATAGGACAGAAGTTCCATTTTTTTAAGAAATGTTTAATGCGGTCTTAGACGTGCCATCGAATTTTGACTGGGATTATTACGTCAATTTCATGGTGCACCTACTTCATAATGTTTTCATTTTGTTTTTACGGTCAGACGTGCCCAAAATATTACGAATATCATGAAGAAGCAATTAGTTGACACTAGCTTTCGCCCGCAATTCCGTTTGCGTGGAATTAAAAAAACACAAAATTGTTTAATTATTGTTAATAGCCTGTGTTCCAGACTATCCTCTACATCCATGCCAAATTTTATCGAAATCCGATCAGCCGTTTAGGCTACAAACTCTAATAAACATCCATCCATCCATCCATCTAAAATTTCTCATTTATAATATTAGTATGATTAGTATGATTTTTAGTTGAGTTTCCCTCAGTGTTACAGCAAGAAGACTCCATAGACTATGTTAACACAAACTGGTGTTTGTTACCATGTTTCAGATTGCTGCGCGGAGAAAGGTATACTGCAGTGCGCGGTGGCGGCGAAGCTTCGAGTGCGCGCGCGTCGGCGCGGCTGGCGGGTACACGTGTCCGACCTACATTGGCGTTCCCCGCTAGAACAACAACGAGACCATCGTTTCCCTGTACTGTGCATCGTTGAACTTACTCGTAAGTTCTTCACAATCACCTAGAGATAACTAGCTGTTCGCGTGCGGCTTCATCCGCAAGAAATTATAAATAACTTTATTTCACTGTTTACATTTGTCAAATTATCAACTGCAAATGTATATTTTTTTGTTGTTATACAAGTGTAATGACAGTAGAAACTCGTATTAACATTTCTACAGCCTTAGTTCTTTCTGTTTTCAGGTCAGTCAGAACTAGGTGCAGTCGTACCGGTGCTGTTCCTAAACTCGGGGTTGGGCACTCCCCTGTTGCCGCACACGTTAGAGTGCGCTGACTTCAAAGCAGCACTCGAAGCTGCGGAGGATGAAAACGATCAGGCGCTTTTAAATAAATGGTATTAACTAGCAGTATTAGTGCTTGTATAGATCTTCTTTCTTTTTCCATCTTTTCCTTGTTAGAAAGACCAAGATTTGGCCATAGGCAAAACGTAGAAATACCTCCACTTCAGTGCCAGATTAGCCACGTAAAATAGTAAGTGCTACGAGCCACGCCAATTTGTGAACTCCGCGCTACAACGAATGTCTAACAGTAATAAAAAAATATTAATTTAGACAGTAGCGTCAAATACATGCCTTAAACGCGGAGAGTTAAGGCTATGCTTCAGTCCTATTTGAAAGTGTAAAAGGAGGCATAATTTTAATCCCTTTCACTTTCCACCCTTTTCTTAAGAGGAAAGGATGTGAAGGAAAAGTGGATTTGACGGTGGAGGAGACGCATAAGAAGTTGAAATGTCCTCATTATGTGCGTCTCCTCCGTCAATGAAGGGTCGCTTTCCATTTCGGTGGATTCAGGTGGCCGCTTGCTCGTTTGCCACCTTATGTTATCAAAAAAAAACACGATTTCGATTTTAAAACGTAAAAATAAAATTTTTTACGTTATTTTTAACGTTTATGTTTTAATGTTAAATTCCAATTAATTCTAATTAAAGTTAACAGTTTTGTTCAATACCCTATACTTGGGAACGTAAAGCAATCCAAGGGCCACTTGACAGAATTTGCTACAGGCCCACGCTGGCTTAATCTGGCGCTGTTTTACTTGAACCTTTTTTTTACAATATAAGGGGACAAACGAGCAAGCGGCCACCTGAATACACTGAAATGGAAAGCGACCGCTGCCCATAAACATCCGCAATTACAGATGCGTTGCCTACCCTTCATTTACGGAGGAGACGCACATAAACAGGAAATTTTCCCTTCCTGTACGTCTCCTCCACCGTCAAATCCACTTTTCCTTCCCATCCATTCTTATTCAGAAAAGAGTGGAAAGGGACTAAAATTAGGCTTCCGCCGCCACACTCATCAGACGAAACACGGAATTGCTTCCACTTTACGCCTATTTTCTGCGTGGTCGTGGTATTTCACCGGGCGAGCCGTCCCATTCGTGGGAAGATGTTAAAGTGGGTTCTACCACTGTTTAAATGCAGTCAACCGCAGTTAGAAATT